ATTCATATTTACATTCATGCCATTTTTTGTTTTGTTGTTTGTTTTAGTTAAAATCTCTAATCCGAAACATGAAAGTGGATGCAAAAATAACTTGATTATTCAAACAAAAATGGAGGATATAAGAGAGTATACAAGTATAGAAAGTATTGAGGAGTAATCTTCCTTGATCTAAAAGAGGTTACAGGTGGAATATATAATTTATATACACACTAAACAATGAATGGGCCTCTAGGATGGACTAGATAGTGGGCTAAGCTAGGTACAAATACAATATATACTAAGAACCCTTCACAATTTGAATGGGAGGAGAAACACGAAAGTTTAATTTGGATCAAAAATCAGTAAAAAGTGATGTAGATAGTCCTTTCATGAAGCTCTCACCATATTGAGCGGTAAGGCTATCAGGAGTGGTAGGGGAAAAGACGCGTGAGAGCTGACGTGTCAGCCCCTTCACGCGTGAACACCGCCCCACCTTCTGGTGGGTGTCTTGTTCCGTGGAGCTGAAGACGGGTGAAGACGATGGATTTGATTGACTCCTTTTTTTGACCGTTGCTTTATTGCTTTATTGACCGTTTGTAAAAAAAAAAAATTAATTAATTAATTAATTAATTACTACCAATTCTCTATATATCAACATATATTTTACCTTTCAAATACACACCAAACTTTGAACACAAACAAATATACTCTCATTCAAAAAATACACTTTCCTCCATGGATCCAAACCAAAATAACCCACCCACCCCAAACACCCCAAACACTCCAAATGATCCGTTAACAAACATTGGCTATATGCAATTGTTATCATCCCCCATTCAACAACAACCTTTATTTACCAATCTTTCATACCACCCACACTACTACCAAAACCAACCACAACCACAATTTGTTCAAACCCAATTTCAACCCTTTCAACAACAACCTCCTCCGCGTTTTCAGCCCCAAACTTTCCAACAGCCACAACCAAGTTCACAACCATCTCAAGTTCCATTATCACAATCTCAACCCGTAAACCTCGACGATGAAGACGACGACGAATGGGTTCAAGAAACACAACCAAGTCATAGAAAGCAAAAAAAATCCAAAGATTCAACAAAGAAGAAAAACACCCAGTGGACCGAGGAGGAGGAGGCGACTTTAGCTAAAACTTGGATTGCCATATCACAAGACGGGGATGTCGCCAACGTGCAATCGGGACATAGCTTTTGGAATCGTATTTTAAACCACTTCCACGCGTTATTGGGAAGGCAAACTAGTCGGACATATGAAAATTTAAGGGTGTTTATGAAAATTCAACAAAAAGTTCTCGACCAATATCGCAACTAGATTTGATGTTTTTTTAATAATTTAGGTTTAATTTTCTAAGTATGGATTATGTTTTTTTAGTATTTTAGTTTTAATTTTTAGTGTTTTAAATTATGTAATATGATTTTAATTAATATAAAATATTAAATTTATCCATCCTTAGCTACAGTAAAATGGTTAAGGATTGGCAAAATTGGTCCCTTTCATTTGCTGTAAATCGGAATTGGTCCACCTATTTATTGAAATAGCAGTTTGGTCCTTGTAAGCATAACAGTTTTTTAATGTTCAGTCCATGGATCGTCAAAGTCACTGTTCATTCAGCAAACGTGTTCTCTTCTCTTTCACCACCACTGTTCATTCAGCAAATGTGTCATCTTCTCTTTTACTTCGGGTTACTCTGTTCCACCGCTTAGATACATGTCTGATGCTACGTTTTCCCACCGACAATCTACCGCTTTTTTCTTATTTGCTCTATATACCACTTTTGAAACTCTGTCTGGGAAGGCTTGGAGACAATCCTTCGACTTCTCTTCCTTACCCTTCTATCTTTGTCTCTCTTTAAGAAAAAGTCGGCTCCCCTTCCTTACCACGAGCCACCGTCACCCCATTTACCGGCTCAGCCGATGTCATTCCTCCTGTTGGTGAAGAACGCCGAAACGAGCGGTGATCGGGGGTTCCCAACAAAAACCCTAAACTGATTTCGATCGTATGTATGTCCATCTCCACTTTGAATTGAGAATCAATGACCACCATTACGCCACCAGGTATGTGTCGTGAGCGAGTGGAAAAGAATGACTGAGGTGTAGACGATGGACTTGACCGACAGTCAAGCAGGAAGAAACAACGTCACCGCTTATAATATCCATCAAAAGCTTATTTTGAAGTCTATTATTTTGCAGGGGTCAGTTGATTGAAGGTTAGTACTTCATTAGTTGCAGGGCTCACTCGATTTGAGCTTCTTCTCGCTTCCGATGTTTATCTTATTTCAGTCTACCACCTTCATGTTTTCGTATGCCCACACTGTCAAATGTTTCAACCACTTCATCTACATCATGCTTCTGCCTCCATCTCTATTGGAAGTCATCCGGTCGAACCCTAGATGTTCTCTTCCTCATCTAATTAATCGATCCTGACCACAAGGTAAATGATTTGACTAATCGATTCAAGTTAACTGGAGATTAATATTTTTTTGGTTTGGAAATTTAACTTTACATCAACTCCTCCTCTATTTTCTGCCATCCATAGGTACGTTTTCGTCTATTATTTCTATTTTCTGTCTTTGTTTACAAGTATTTTGGGTGTTGAACAGGTGATCGGAAGGAATATGTGGGTGTGTCTGCTTGATTCAAATTTAGAGAACAAATTTGGTGAATTTCAAGGGTGTAGTGAAGAAAGACGCAAGCAATTGAAAGATTCGGATAAATAAAATACAACAATTACAGGATCTGAGCAGGTTAGACTTTGTGTCTATTTCTCCTTTTTACATTCATCTACGATGACATGAACTTAGAAAGAGGTAACATTCAATTAAAAAAGAGGATTTTAATCGAATTTTTCCTATGATTTTTGTATTTGGGGTATCAAATATTCATCCTACTTCTTTATCTAAACTTTATCTTTTGGTGTTTGTAGTGGCATAATTGAGATGCTTGAAAAAGGGACGCATGTGATCAGATTTCATCTTAATGTTTGTTAAATTGCTTGATGAGACCCATAATCATAATCCTCCTTCATCTCTAAAACAAGATTGTCATGGATAAAACTAAAGGTTGTTGGATACGGAAAAAAGAGTTGGTTTATTGTTTCCATCACTGGCAATATGATGGGTGTCGGAGGGATGACTTTTTTGCAGGCATCAATCATCACTTATTTCTACCACTGTCTGTTTTCATGCTTAGGTAATATAACAGGACATTACTTTCATACCTGTAAATATTCTTATCATCTAAAATCATAGATTATAATGGAATTATGGTTACTTCCAATTATGAAAAGTGCAGAATTGAACGACTAGACTACATGATAATGAAGATGTCACCTGTGAAGGTTTTGTTTAATTACTCAAGAATAAGTTTTTATGCATTGGTACAAATCTTTGTTTTCAATATTATACATATAATACTAAATTACTAATGTTATTTGAATACTATACTCAGTATGCAATCTAACCATAAATTTTATAGAATTTTAAGACTTTCTAATAAGACTATTTTTTTCAACTAAACTTAGAAAATTTTCCTTCTAAATGAATAAGTAATTTCAAAGAACCCTCAGTCGGTCTCCTATAATGTCTACAATTGGGTTACTCTGTTCCACCGCTTAGATGCTCTGTTTTTCCTACCGACAATCTACCGCTTTTTTCTTATCAAGAATATTAGGACTTCATGAGTAAACTTGCAAAAATATGAATTTATCTGAAAAAAAAAAGAAAAATCCAAATAGACATGAAGAACCATACACACAAGTTGCAGAAACAAATTACAAATAAAAATATATGGAACTATGATCTATAAACATTTTCATAACGTTTTTAAAATTAGAATGTATTTTTTTACTCTACCAGACAGGTGTTCTTGCAATGCCAAAAAATGGAATTGGATTGTGTTTTGCTGATATAGAAGCTAAGAGTCTAGGCCAAGAGATTGGTAATGGAGTTTTGAGGAAGACTACAAACGAAATGGTGAGTGTTTTTTATTTATTATCTTTTTAAATATTAAAGAAAATGTTTTATTGTTTATTATTTTAAACAAAAGTTACAGATGATAGGAATGAAGGCTTCATTGACATTGCGAAAATGATTTGCTAAAGCTAAATGACAAGATTACCCTTACTCACCTTTTCTCTGTACTTCCATCACAACTTTTACATGTGTTAAACATTGATGATAGAAATCTCAAATAGGAAGAAGTTGAAGTAAGGTGTTTAAAAGTATGCTTTTGAAAACATATTACCTTCTAGCTTCTGATTTATACTAATCAAAATGGACTGTTGATAGTGGTATTGTTAGATTTTTAGAGAAATAAAAAAAAAAAAAACCCACATGTACTTTCATAATCTTATTGATTTTGTCATTTACCTATTTTATTTAGTCATTAAACCATTATATTTTCTTTTACTGTCTCAAAATTGGCCTGATTTGATATTATAAAAATTAAAAAAAAAAAAAAAAAAAAAACAAACAAACTTATTTTTACCATTATACGTTTTTTATCATCTAAAAATTTTATTTACTAATTAAGCCGCTACACTAATATTTTTTTTTATTGATTTAGTCATTAAACTCTTAGTTTTTTTTTACGATTTAGCCACATAACTATTATGATGAAAATCTAAAAAAAAAATAGTTCAGTGGCTAAATTACATGACTCAATTTTTTTTTTTTGGTCATAAAATGGATGGTTGACCATCTTCTCTTTGATAACAGTTGATCTATTTGCCCCTGTCCATCCTTCTAACAGTTAAAAAAAAATTAATGACATTCTACTTTTTGTTTATTCATATTGTATATTATGAAGCAAAAAAATTGGAAATATGATGCAGGTCAAATGGAAGGCTTGCAATCTTGGGTCTCAAACTAAAAGCTTACCAACATTGGTTAGTTTAATTTATAAACTTTACTATAATGATAGATTTGATTTTTTTAAATAATCAAACCGAAAAAATATAATGGAGTCTTGATAAAAATGTACATGTAGGCACAATTTGGGCAACAGCAGTTGCTACATCAATGGCTTACACAAGTGCTAAGAGAGATGCATTTAAGCATAGCATTAGATATACAATTTACATTGAAGCATTTAAACGATTTATATTTATCTCTATGGTTATTTTATATGTATTTGTTTGCCACTATAGGATGCATGCATTAGGTTTAACGTTAGTAGGTCAACTTTCAGTTGGGTTTAAGCCTATTTGCGTATATTCATATATTGAATGGCAGGTATGCATCTAAACATAGAATTTGTTATTCCATAAAAGATTTAAGAATGTAGGCTGAAAATCTATTTTACAGATATGAAGGTGGATGAATTGGAGAAAGCTATTTCTGAGGCAGCTAGAGACCCCGCTAAATATGGAATCGATCAACTCGAACTTGAAAGAAGATTTAAATGGACAAGAACCGTTACGACTCAAGTAATTTTTTTTATTTTTAATATAAACATTAAAAATTCACACAGTTGTTTTTTTCAGGAAGTGTTAAGAAATTAGTGGTTGGAGCAGACTTGAATGACAGTAGCTCTTCCACATTTAGTGGGATGTATCAAAAACTAATGAGTCTGTCAAGTGCACGTCGGCAAATCTGATGTAAAGTGGTTTTTTTTGCATATCTTAGAACAAGAAAACTAAAATAGAGCAATGTATTTTCATTTGAATCTTTAGCTTTATGTAATTTGGATCCTTTTTTTTCTGCAAAGGGCAATGTCATTTATTTTTATTATTTTAAGGGTGAATTACAGAGAATAAAAACATACTTAACTGTGTCTACCAATTAAGACAATCTACTATACATGTACATAAAAACAACACCTTCCAACCCCGCAACGCGGGGAACGCATCTAGTTTAATATTTTATTTATTTAACAAAATGGTAAAAAAATAAAAAAAAATAATATAAAAGTGAATGTTGTTAGTGGTGACCATTTCCATAAGGGAGTGGGTTGGTGGTGAAGGTGACGTGGCGCATAGCATAAGTGGCATCACTTTTTTGGTGAGTTTATAGTGACCACTCCATATAGCCTAATGAGCACATAATACTCCACTATCCGCATGACATATTGACAAGCATGGACATATTGACAGGCATGTGTCACTTCCTTTACAATTTGATTGCTTTTACTTCTTATTATATATTTTTTAACTTATTTACAACTTATTATTATTATTTTATTTTACAAAAATCAAACTAGTATTCAAAGAATTCATGACATATTATCATCGAAACACAAAGTTTCATTATTTTATCTTTAAATTTTGGGATAATGACTTAAAAAGGTAATATATTTTTCGATTTATACAAATTTGATCACTGTGTTTTTTCGTCCACATTTACCCCTTCAACTTGTTAGCCTGTACACATTCTATCCTTATGATCGGCTACTCCAGGTTAGCCGGTAAAAATGACTTAATAGAGTAATATATTTCTTACTTTGTACACATTTAGTCTTTAATATTTTTTTGTTGCAGAATAAGTCATTTTTGTTTTTGTACTCATTCAGTACTTATTAATAATTTCTTTATGTTTTTCTCATGACATTTTACATGGGACGATCATTAATCAAGTGTTTGGGGCTTTTGATACTTATGTCCATCGCGAGTTCGACTACTTGGTTGCTTAGATCATGCGTTTTGAATGTCATAACTTCTTCATACAATCTCGGATTTTAACGATCTTTATATTCAGGTGTTCGTATTTTATCTACTACAACTTTTTTTTAGATTACTCTCGTTAAAATATAATATATTTGTACTTATGATCTTTATATTCATATGTTTTTTATGAATATATGTATCGATTTTTTTTATAAAATCGTAAGTAAAAATATAGTACATTTTAATTGAAGTAATCTTAACGAAAGTTGTATTAGACTCAAAAAACGAACATGTGGATATAAAGATCGTTAAAATTTGATATTGTATGAAGAAGTTACGACGTTCAGAACACAAGACCTAAGTCAAACCATAAGATCTACGCAACCAAGCAGTCGAGGTCCCGATGAACATAAGCATCAACAACCAAAACACCTCATTAATGATTGTCCCATGTAAAATGTTATGAGAAAAACCTAAATAAAACATTCATAAGTACTAAATTAGTACAAAAGCAAAAATGACTTATTTAATATATAAAAGAAAGAATAAAGTTTTATATAGACATAGCGGGTAAACGAGCAACAAGCTGTACCGCAACAAAAAAAAATATTCAGAAATAAATGTGTACAAAAATATTAAGGACTAATTGTGTACAAAATGAGAAATATATTACCCTATTAAGTCATTTTTCCCGACTAACATGGAGTAACCGCTCATAATAACTAAATGTGTACAATTTAACAAGTTGAAGGGGTAAATATGGACGAAAAAATCTCAATGATCAAATGTATACAAATCGAAAAATATATTACCCATTCTAAATCATTATCCCTTAACTTTTGCATGCAAAATATTCCGAAGAGGTTCACATCATAATTTCACCTAGATTATAATATTATACTCGTGTACTATAATTAAATTGTTAGTTTGGTGAGTAATTCCATTTATAACAGACATGTATACTACATAACTCTAGAATTTATCATGAAGTAACAATTTAATTTTACTAAACTTACAACATATAACTTGTATGTTGTGATTTTGGTGTGACAAAAGTTTTCTAGTAGGTGATAATCGACCCATTGTGAAGAATGAAATAGTCAGATTTTTAGTTTTCAAGTTCAAAGAAGAGCACCAAATAAGGGCCACGTTGGAAATCCATAGATTCATGAACATTTCAAACCATCATATGACTCTTTTGCAGGCCGCTTTTACCCGCGATGAAGTTAAATATGTTGTTTGGGCTTGCCGAAACGACAAGGCACCAGGCCCTAATGGGTTCACATTTTCCTTCATAAAAAGGTGTTGGTAAAAGATTAAAGAAGACATTTTCATGTCCGTCTGGTTCTTTGAAGAGCAATATGTTTTAAACCCGAGTAGCAATGCGTCTTTTATCACATTGATTCCTAAATGCAATGACCCTCTTAACCTCTCAGTTTTCCGTCCTATCAGCCTTATTGGGAGTGTTAGTAAAATTATATCTAAATGCCTTGCTGAGCGAATTAAAAATGTCATGCCTTCGATTATCAGTAAAGAGCAATCAACTTTCATGAATGGTAGAAGCATTCTTGACGGTCATCTAATGTTCAATGAGGCTATTACTTGGGCTAAGAAGAAAAAGAAGATGTTAATTTTCAAGGTTGATTTTGAGAAGGCATTTGATACTTTAAATTGCGACTACTTAGACGATGTGATGAGGCAAATGGGGTTTAGCGAGAAATGGAGAAAATGGGTTCACGCTTATATATCTTCTTCAAGAATATCAGTGTTGGTTAACGGGGTTGCCACACAGCAATTCAAAGTTCAAAAAGGACTGCGACAAGGCGACCCGCTTTCCCCCTTCCTATTTATTATTGCTACGGAAGGACTTCGGGTTGCTTTGGCGGAAGCTTTGGACAAAGGCCTTTACAAACGCGTGAATCTTTCCAACAATGGTCCTAATCTTTCAATCTTACAATTTGCGGACGATATTCTTTTCCTTGGTGAATGGAATAAAGTTAACGCCTTAAATCTTATGAGGCTCATGGGATGTTTTCATATTTGCTCAGGTTTAAAGATCAACATCACCAAGTGTAGAATTATGGGTATTGGCGTACATAAGCAAGAGGTGATGAATATGGCTACCTTTAGAGGGTGTGAGGAAGGGACCCTCCCTTTCTCTTACCTTGGAATGTCGGTTGGTGGAGGTATGTCGAGAATTGTCAAACTGAAGAGTTCTAACTGAAAAGTTTCAAAATAAACTTTCAACTTGGAAAGGTCGTTGTCTCTTTTTTGGAGGAAGATTAGTGCTTAATTTGTAAACAAGTTCTAGGAAACTTGGGATCGTACATGTTCTTGCTCTACAAGGCTCCTACAAAAGTCATTAACAAATTCGGTGTAATTTCTTTTTGGGGGTGATTTGGATAAAAGAAAAAACCGCATGGGTTGCATGGAAGAAGGCCTTAAAGACGAATATTAATGGAGGTCTTGGAATTGGAAGCCTTCAATCACTTAACCTAGTTCTCCTTTCAAAATGGTGATGGTGGTTTAAAAAGAAGAAGGATCTCTATGACACGATGTAATAAAATACATTCTCGGTCCAGATGGGAAACTGGGGTTTTTTCGGTCAGCTGCAGACATAAGAGGGACATGGGGGACGACCATAAACATCAATAAAGCTCTTAAACTCAGAAATATAGATCTTAGACACATGTTTTACAGAACGGATGATGGCTGGGAGTGGGCCTAGAAAATGACAGAACATTCATGGTTTCTTCCATCAGAAAATTTATAGACTGCCACACTCTTGAAAGTTTGGATTTTCATACTTAGTGGAACAAGTCGACTCCCAATAAATCAAATATACTATTTTGGAGAACAAGGTTGGGTTGTTTACCAACCTTGTCGAATTTGGCAAGGATAAGTTCTCAAATCAGCTCCATATATTGCCCTTTGTGTCATAGTTTCGAGGAGACGGAGAACCACTTGGTTACCAGGTGTTCAACGGATAAGGAAGTTATCACTCTTATTAATATGTGGAGTCGTGAATTTCCAACTGATAAGGTTACCATTGAAGATTTGTTCCAAACTATTCAGAAGAGGGATGCAGATAGGAAGGATAAAATGAATAGACTATGAGTGATTTTATTGGCTTTCATATGGGTTTTATGGGGGTATAGGAACAACAATATTCTCAAAGGCATGGTTATGAATTGTAATTCTGTTTTCTGGGAAATTAAAGCCATATCCTTTTGGTGGATAAAAAGTAGAGTTAGAAAAGATAGATTTTTTGTCATGGGATAGCTGGAACATCAGTCCCAATTGGTCTTGTATTTCTGTTAATGCTCACTATCATCTTGCTTGTGTTGCTTTAATAAATTTCTTACTGTTAAAAAAAGGTAATAACCGAACCAAAAGACAAAACATTGCCTCTTTCTTGTAACTCCAGAGGACAAGTAAAATGACCAGGTATGGTTTACTAATGTTCTTATAACATGTTTATATATTTCAATTATAGAATAATCTAACATAACTTGCAAATTTTAGTTATTAACTAAATGACTAAATATATAATTATTCAAAAAATTATTGAAAACTTTGAAAAATTCAAAAACAAATTGTAACAGAGAAGGTATGTTTTTAGTTGAATCG